CACTGTAGAATGTATCAACACAAATAAACATATATCTAGTAAATGTTACTCACACTGTAGAATGTATCAACACAAATAAACATATATCTAGTAAATGTTACTCACACTGTAGAATGTATCAACACAAATAAACATATATACTAGACAAATGTTACTCACACTGTAGAATGTATCAACACAAATAAACATATATCTAGTAAATGTTACTCACACTGTAGAATGTATCAACACAAACAAACATATATCTAGTAAATGTTACTCACACTGTAGAATGTATCAACACAAATAAACATATATCTAGTAAATGTTACTCACACTGTAGAATGTATCAACACAAATAAACATATATACAACAAATGTTACTCACACTGTAGAATGTATCAACACAAATAAACATATATACAAACAAATATAACTCACACTGTAGAATGTATCAACACAAATAAACATATATACGACAAATATTACTCACACTGTAGAATGTATCAACACAAATAAACATATATCTAGTAAATGTTACTCGTACTGTAGAATGTATCAACACAAATAAACATATATCTAGTAAATGTTACTCACACTGTAGAATGTATCAACACAAATAAACATATATCTAGTAAATGTTACTCACACTGTAGAATGTATCAACACAAATAAACATATATCTAGTAAATGTTACTCACACTGTAGAATGTATCAACACAAATAAACATATATACAACAAATGTTACTCACACTGTAGAATGTATCAACACAAATAAACATATATACAACAAATGTTACTCACACTGTAGAATGTATCAACACAAATAAACATATATCTAGTAAATGTTACTCACACTGTAGAATGTATCAACACAAACAAACATATATCTAGTAAATGTTACTCACACTGTAGAATGTATCAACACAAATAAACATATATCTAGTAAATGTTACTCACACTGTAGAATGTATCAACACAAATAAACATATATACAACAAATGTTACTCACACTGTAGAATGTATCAACACAAATAAACATATCTAGTAAATGTTACTCACACTGTAGAATGTATCAACACAAATAAACATATCTAGTAAATGTTACTCACACTGTAGAATGTATCAACACAAATAAACATATATCTAGTAAATGTTACTCACACTGTAGAATGTATCAACACAAATAAACATATATACAACAAATGTTACTCACACTGTATCAACACAAATAAATGTATCAACACTGTACAATCAACACAAATAAACATATATCTAGTAAATGTTACTCACACTGTAGAATGTATCAACACAAATAAACATATATACAACAAATGTTACTCACACTGTAGAATGTATCAACACAAATAAACATATATCTAGTAAATGTTACTCGTACTGTAGAATGTATCAACACAAATAAACATATATACAACAAATGTTACTCACACTGTAGAATGTATCAACACAAATAAACATATATACAACAAATGTTACTCACACTGTAGAATGTATCAACACAAATAAACATATATACGACAAATGTTACTCACACTGTAGAATGTATCAACACAAATAAACATATATCGACAAATGTTACTCACACTGTAGAATGTATCAACACAAATAAACATATATACAACAAATGTTACTCACACTGTAGAATGTATCAACACAAATAAACATATATCTAGTAAATGTTACTCACACTGTAGAATGTATCAACACAAATAAACATATATATATACTCACACTGTAGAATGTTCAACACAAATAAACATATATCTCCTACATGTTACTCACACTGTAGAATGTATCAACACAAATAAACATATATCTAGTAAATGTTACTCACACTGTAGAATGTATCAACACAAATAAACATATATACGACAAATGTTACTCACACTGTAGAATGTATCAACACAAATAAACATATATCTAGTAAATGTTACTCGCACTGTAGAATGTATCAACACAAATAAACATATATACAACAAATGTTACTCACACTGTAGAATGTATCAACACAAATAAACATATATACAACAAATGTTCAGAAGGAAAAATATCTGTGGCTATTTTATGTTATCTTACGACAAAGTGAGAAATCTGTGGCTATTCTTATTGTCAACAAATGTTTAATTTGTTTCACCTCTGTGGTATAGATATAGAGTATAGATGGTAGGCTTACTACCAGATTTTCTTCCTCTGCAAAACTAAAGTTATACAAGAATTCGTTTACAACACAAACACACCCTTTATATTTACGAGGCGAGTACGTGATACATTCTCAAACCTATCAACATCGTTAATGTTATCTGGGATTTTAAAGGTTTTAGCGAATATGGATGGGATTTTTCTATATAATTCAGCACATTCTAAGAATTTCAATCAGTGGTTTCGACATTTTCCGGAGTCGCTTTCCAGAGTGATCCCTGCGATATAAGTAATATACTATAGAATACAAACACTTGTGAATCTACTCAGATAAAGATAATAGATGTAGGAAAATGTTTATCTTTAAATCATTATTGTCTCACTTTACTTAGTACACTAGTATCTACTAGTTGTATAACATTTCAAATCTAACCATAAATGACGAACGGACCTCAGTACATAGGCCAGATTGACACATTAATCAGTAGTCCTTTGTATTTAGTCTAGATCTTAGGTCTGACTTGTTCTAAGTTTGAGGAGGTTGGACCGACTTAAATAGAATCACAGATAAGTGGCATACCACCAGTTGACGGAAATAATCAGAAACAAGGTCGAAAGTCTCAAGTTCTCAGTAGTCTGGACCAAACAATAACTCTACTCCATGTTTGTCTAGAGACTACAAATTGGAAAGCTCGTGAAACTTTATACTGAACGAAAAACTTTCAGAAATAATAATTACCCACATGATAATGTAGAAGATTTCAGATGTATGAAAATAGTGTTAATCAATGAAAACTCCCTTCCTGTTAGATCCGCCCCCTACACAATTTCCGCTGATACTATGTTTATCAGTTAACAACACTCAGGTGACATACCCTACATTTTATGAACTGGTTATCTCTATAGGGTAGATTGCAGACATTGGGATTAAAACAAATTTCTGAGTATTTTAAACAGTCTTTACAATGGGGTTTGCTAAACCAAGTTGGTTGTTTTTAAAACATAATCTTCCTAATATGTCAGAATTAGCTCGTGTCTGGACTATTCTTTTTATAGAAAGGCGAAATGCATTTTAATAACGAAGAAAAGCTATATGTCGATTGTGACAACTTCAACAATGTTCTTTACTTTTTTTCCCTAAATCTCTTAGTTTCTGCAGTAAGTTTGGCCGACGTCAGATTGTTAAGACCCGTTTCCCGAAGTTTAAATGTAAATAATAATAAGAAAAAAATAACCATCACGCATATAAATTTGGAAATCCCAATACAAGGATTGCACAACATAATTGTTATCTGGGTTGGGCATTGATAACCATGTGTATAAATATATCGGTCTTCAACATCAGAGCTGTTTATCTGTATACGGCGACGCCATGAAACTGTCACAGAAACTTGGTCTGGTTTTCACAGCTCTTTCTCTTTTACTTGTCGTCATTACCTTCTCCACTCCAGGTTTATACAGATTGCAGATTCCTAAAGACAAAAAGGTACATACAACACAAGAAGTTATAAAGATCAAAGGGGGTAGAAGTTATCACGTGATCGAGCCACCCTCGTTTTCTATACCAACCGTCGTAACATTGTCATGTGGACTCTGGTACTTCAGCGCTTGTGTTCCTGACTACTGTGATGTCCATTCTTACCAGCATGCCAAACACACTGCGAGACACTTGGACGAAGAGTTGCAGGGCATGGACATGGAGGAGATTTATAACAATATTGGTGGTAAATCATCACTTAACAATCTTCAATATACAAACGGTTTAGTAATATAGACATTACGGACAGGGCACGTGTCATAGATTGTCTCCCTTTGTATATAGTGTGTCTCGGTTACATATATAATTTACAAATGTATCGTAATAATTAAAACATTGCTATGAAATCTCAAGGCTCTGTTATATCGAAAATAAGTCAGAGGATTAGTGGGGTCTTCACTTTTTTCATGGTCAAATGTCAAAGTAATTTTTCAAAGAGGTAGCGGCGGTGAGATTCACAGCGTGTATTCCTCAGCTTCGCGAATTTGCAAAATTGTAGTTTCTGCTTACAGAGAAAAAGCATGGCGTGTTGATCCTAATGGATAAAGTGTTCACTATAATGTTTCTAGCGTACATCTGATGTATATCAAAATGTCATGCCATCAAAGTTCTGCAAACAAGATGTTTGAGTAAATACTATGTGAATAAAATTTTCTCTTGGTATGACAAATGTCTAAAACTACACAGAAATATTTCATATTCACAGATATTGCGAAATTCGCTATGCTGGAGTTCCAGATAGAGATAACAGCCTCGATAGTTTGTATGGTCGTCTCCATGGTAACGACGGTTTGCTACTTCCGGGGACATATGCTGCGCAGAGGCGTCGGTCTCGCTGCATTCATCAACACGTTAGTGGCAGGTATGTCGGGATGTTTATGGACAAATCCGTGATTTTAAGTGTTCCTACATGTATGTACTACGTTGTAAAATTGACCTTTTTTCTCCGTGAAATTTTGTATAGAAACGTATCAAGTACGTGACTGATGTACTTCAATTATTGTAACTTATTGGAAAATCAACATATAAAATGTGGAACATATCTTTTAAAAGGTGTCTATGTTTCTAACTTTGTTTGACTGACATTAATCGCATAGAGAGTGGACACAAACTCTCGTTAAATGCATTAATCGGCCCTGAGCTGGCTAATGAAATTATTTACTTATTTAGGGAAAAAAACTTTTCAAAGAACCGATAACAATTCAATAGCAAGGATAATCAGCGGAGGTCTCTTTGATATCTATACTTAGGTTTTCTAATGGTGGAAACGTATAGTGTCTCCATTGTCGTGAGACTGAGTAACGGTACTCTGACATGTTTCGACAATTAACTCACAAACTATGATTCGATGAAAGAAAATGTTGATATTTATAAACTACAAGTACTGCTGTACAGAGTATCGCCATGCAGACATTGAAAAGTGAATAGACAATAGGTAATCGTTAGTTATATACGGTAGTGACAATCTGTTGTCTGTAGTTATATACGGTAGTGAAAATCTGCTGTCTGTAGTCATATACAGTAGTGACAATCTGTTGTCAGTAGTTATATACGGTAGTGACAATCTGTTGTCTGTAGTTATATACGGTAGTGACAATCTGTTGTCTGTAGTTATATACGGTAGTGACAATCTGTTGTCTGTAGTTATATACAGTAGTGACAATCTGTTGTCTGTAGTTATATACGGTAGTGACAATCTGTTGTCTGTAGTTATATACAGTAGTGACAATCTGTTGTCTGTAGTTATATACAGTAGTGACAATCTGTTGTCGTTAGTTATATACAGTAGTGACAATCTGTTGTCGTTAGTTATATACAGTAGTGACAATCTGTTGTCTGTAGTTATATACAGTAGTGACAATCTGTTGTCTGTAGTTATATACAGTAGTGACAATCTGTTGTCGTCAGTTGTATACAGTAGTGACAATCTAGTATATATATACAGTAGTGACAATCTATGTCGTAGTTATATACAGTAGTGACAATCTGTTGTCTGTAGTTATATACAGTAGTGACAATCTGTTGTCGTAGTTATATACAGTAGTGACAGTAGTTAATCTGTTGTTGTCTGTAGTTATATACAGTAGTGACAATCTGTTGTTGTTATATACAGTAGTGACAATCTGTTGTAGTTATATACAGTAGTGACAATCTGTTATATTGTGACAATCTGTTGTCAGTAGTTATATACAGTAGTGACAATCTGTTGTTTGTAGTTATATACAGTAGTGACAAGTAGTTATATATACTGTAGTTATATACAGTAGTGACAATCTGTTGTCAGTAGTTATAGTAGTGACAATCTGTTGTCAGTAGTTATATACAGTAGTGACAATCTGTTGTCAGTAGTTATATACAGTAGTGACAATCTGTTGTCAGTAGTTATATACAGTAGTGACAATCTGTTGTCAGTAGTTATATACAGTAGTGACAATCTGTTGTCAGTAGTTATATACAGTAGTGACAATCTGTTGTCTGTAGTTATATACAGTAGTGACAATCTGTTGTCTGTAGTTATATACAGTAGTGACAATCTGTTGTCTGTAGTTATATACAGTAGTGACAATCTGTTGTCTGTAGTTATATACAGTAGTGACAATCTGTTGTTAGTTATATACAGTAGTTATATACAGTAGTGACAATCTGTTGTCAGTAGTTATATACGGTAGTGACAATCTGTTGTCTGTAGTTATATACAGTAGTGACAATCTGTTGTCAGTAGTTATATACAGTAGTGACAATCTGTTGTCTGTAGTTATATACAGTAGTGACAATTTGTTGTCAGTAGTTATATACAGTAGTGACAATCTGTTGTCGTTAGTTATATACAGTAGTGACAATCTGTTGTCAGTAGTTATATACAGTAGTGACAATCTGTTTGTCAGTAGTGACAATCTGTTGTCAGTAGTTATATACAGTAGTGACAATCTAGTTATATGTGACAATCTGTTGTCTGTAGTTATATACAGTAGTGACAATCTGTAGTTATATACAGTAGTGACAATCTGTTGTCAGTTAGTTATATACAGTAGTGACAAGTAGTTATATACAGTAGTGACAATCTGTTGTCAGTAGTTATATACAGTAGTGACAATCTGTTGTCAGTAGTTATATACAGTAGTGACAATCTGTTGTCGTCAGTTATATACAGTAGTGACAATCTGTTGTCAGTAGTTATATACAGTAGTGACAATCTGTTGTCAGTAGTTATATACAGTAGTGACAATCTGTTGTCAGTAGTTATATACAGTAGTGACAATTCTAGTTATATTGTCAGTAGTTATATACAGTAGTGTTAATCTGTTGTATATACAGTAGTGACAATCTGTTGTCGTCAGTTATATACAGTAGTGACAATCTGTTGTCAGTAGTTATATACAGTAGTGACAATCTGTTGTCAGTAGTTATATACAGTAGTGACAATTTGTTGTCAGTAGTTATATACAGTAGTGACAATCTGTTGTCGTTAGTTATATACTGTAGTGACAATCTGTTGTCTGTAGTTATATACAGTAGTGACAATCTGTTGTCAGTAGTTATATACAGTAGTGACAATCTGTTGTCGTTAGTTATATACGGTAGTGACAATCTGTTGTCGTTAGTTATATACAGTAGTGACAATCTGTTGTCGTTAGTTATATACAGTAGTGACAATCTGTTGTCAGTAGTTATATACAGTAGTGACAATTTGTTGTCAGTAGTTATATACAGTAGTGACAATCTGTTGTCGTTAGTTATATACAGTAGTGACAATTTGTTGTCATTACTTATATACAGTAGTGACAATCGTTAGTTATATGTTGTCTGTTGTGTAGTTATATACAGTAGTGACAATCTGTTGTCTGTAGTTATATACAGTAGTGACAATCTGTTGTCTGTAGTTATATACAGTAGTGACAATCTGTTGTCGTCAGTTGTATACAGTAGTGACAATCTGTTGTCTGTAGTTATATACAGTAGTGACAATCTGTTGTCGTTAGTTATATACAGTAGTGACAATCTGTTGTCTGTAGTTATATACGGTAGTGACAATCTGTTGTCGTCAGTTGTATACAGTAGTGACAATCTGTTGTCGTCAGTTATATACAGTAGTGACAATCTGTTGTCGTCAGTTGTATACAGTAGTGACAATCTGTTGTCGTTAGTTATATACAGTAGTGACAATCTGTTGTCTGTAGTTATATACGGTAGTGACAATCTGTTGTCGTCAGTTGTATACAGTAGTGACAATAGTGACAATCTGTTGTCGTAGTTATATACAGTAGTGACAATCTGTGTATCTGTTGTCGTTAGTTATATACAGTAGTGACAATCTGTTGTTAGTTATATACAGTAGTAGTTATATACAGTAGTGACAATCTGTTATATACAGTAGTGACAATCTGTTATATGTAGTGACAGTTATATACAGTAGTGACAATCTGTTGTCGTTAGTTATATACAGTAGTGACAATCTGTTGTTTGTAGTTATATACCGTAGTGACAATCTGTTGTCGTTAGTTATATACGGTAGTGACAATCTGTTGTCGGTAGTTATATACAGTAGTCAATCTGTTGTGTCAGTTGTATACAGTAGTATCTGTTGTCGTATATACGGTAGTGACAATCTGTTGTCGTCAGTTGTATACAGTAGTGACAATCTGTTGTCGTTAGTTATATACAGTAGTGACAATCTGTTGTCGTTAGTTATATACAGTAGTGACAATCTGTTGTCGTTAGTTATATACAGTAGTGACAATCTGTTGTCGTTAGTTATATACAGTAGTGACAATCTGTTGTCGTTAGTTATATACAGTAGTGACAATCTGTTGTCTGTAGTTATATACCGTAGCGCCAATCTGTTGTCGTTAGTTATATATGGTAGTGACAATCTGTTGTCAGTAGTTATATACAGTAGTGACAATCTGTTGTATGTAGTTATATACAGTAGTGACAATCTGTTGTCGTTAGTTATATACAGTAGTGACAATCTGTTGTCAGTAGTTATATACGGTAGTGACAATCTGTTGTCTGTAGTTATATACGGTAGTGACAATCTGTTGTCGGTAGTTATATACCGTAGTGACAATCTGTTGTCTGTAGTTATATACGGTAGTGACAATCTGTTGTCGGTAGTTATATACGATAGTGACAATCTGTTGTCAGTAGTTATATACAGTAGTGACAATCTGTTGTCAGTGGTTATAAAAGATAGTAGCGATCTGTTACAGTGAATCATATATTAAATAAACAACGTTTTGTCTACATTTCCAGGTGTCTTTCTCGCTGTAGCGACTGGCAAGTGCGCGACACTGATTATTCAGTCACGTGTCCTCCTCAGCAGCAATTTCGACTTCAAGATGAATACGGTTACATTCAGTTTCCCGTACGGTCTCCTTCTTTCCGGATTAGCGGCCATTTTCCTTTTTGGATCTTCTTTATCTCTACTGTTAACACTAACCGACGAGAAAACACGTATTTCTGACCAGATGTCAAAAAGCTTGATTTGCAATGAAACGCCCAAAACTATTCCGTGTAATATGGTTTCTCCTGCCGAGCAATCTATTTAAAGATGGAAATGCTATGATGGAATTGTGAATGAAAATAGTATACCAATGTCTAGCCCTGTCGTGCATGTTAGTTTACTAAAATGGATACTTTTTCCTATTTTGAGTTGTAATTTTACTCGACACAATGAAGTTGTCATTTGTCTGTTTGGACCCTCTGTATCTCAGTGTTTGACTTCTCCAGCAAGAATTCCTCATCAGACGACAGACGTTTCCATATATTTGGTTTAAATGTTTCCTTGGGAACACCAGGTGCTGTTTTTTTTCCCATGAGGTATTTATTCAATAAAATTGATATTAAACTGCTGTACTGGGTTAATTTGGGGTTATTATTCGTCTCTTTACTTTATTCCAATATTTCAGAAGCAAAGAAAGATAACGCCATCGAATCCACCTGTTGTGCTCCTTTGTACACGTCATAGGTACACAATCCAAGGTGTAAACATCATAAAGTTCAAAATAATCGGTTTTAGGTCACTTGTCAAGAGCTATTTTTATCTTTCAAATTGTCGAATAACTATTCCGTGTATCACATAATTGCCTTGTTATTCATTTAATATACCCGATATAACCTTACTGCTTATTATACACGTCAGGTATATAGATCTTACGTTAGCTCAATAGTCGAGACATATCAAATTGTTGATCACGTTATATGATTTTCGTATTACATCGACACGAATTTAAGATTCTATTTTTGAAAACTATCGAATGAAATTCCATGTAGGACAGAGTTTTTATTTTGACGCGGATGGTATTTTTTCCACTACCGAGAAAATCATGTGGTGTCCTCAAGAAGTGATATATTTATGACGTACCAATAATTACAATTTTATACAATTAATATTACCAACGCGACTTACGATATTCACGACATGGCCGTTTGAAATATGACACAACAGGCCAGTTATATGATAACACCTATTGTGCGGCTAGGTTTCCATTATAAAATGACGTCATACACGCACACATTGCATTGTCCCGTGACAGAAGAGACCATAGATATTGAGCCGAAAGGACATCAAGTTTGACTTTGAAATGGTCGATCACGTAATAAAAAGAATCCAAAGCAGTGTCAATTTAATTTGAGATTTATAAAACGAGCTTAAGGGTTATCAGCAATAATGGAATATTTTCGTCGAAAACGAACGATTTATTTGGTTTTCATGTCAATTATGGACTTGATGTGTGTGCTTCCATTAAAAATAAATGGATGCAACACTGTTTACCTTTCCCCAGACCAGTGATACGTGTGACGATTGAATGTGTTAATGATACCAATAGAATATTAATTGACAGAATAATTAACTGATGGAATATACAGATATGAGAGAATATGGTAGAATATTTCAACGAATACAATATCTGGTAGAATATATCAACGAATACAATATCTGGTAGAATATATCAACGAATACAATATCTGGTAGAATATATCAACGAATACAATATCTGGTAGAATATATCAAATTGATGGAATGTTTAAATAATGAAACGTGTACAAATGATGGAATGTTTAAATGATGAAATGTGTACAACTGATTGAATAATTAATTGATGAAATGTGTACAACTGATTGAATGTATAAAAATATGTGCTTAAATTTGAATACATATGTATTTTACTTATATTACATGTCTGTACGACATTGTGAGATAATTGCATAGATATATTACGGAAGGAGTCAGCAAGCTTTAAGATTTACATTAAACATATGATATAACAATGATCTCTAAAGGACTCTAATTTGTGTCTGACAATAAATCAGTGAGACTAGTTATATCAATGACGGTGGCGAAGCATTCCGTATCATTTCGTATCCATCTGTTTAGCAATTCATTCCAGGCAGAATATCAAATGCGTTTCTTTATAAACCCACGATTGTACTCTGTCATTCATATATGTAAATAAGGATTCCTATTTCAAGTAGACACGACATTGTAGACTGATAGAACATACCAATGGACTGGGTATGTTGAAGGAGCTCGCGATAACGGAGTCGGTTAGAGCACTGGGCTACTTACGTTGGTTCTTGGTTCGACGCTTCCTAACCATGGCGTTTTATGTTTCTTTGGAAGCACATAAACGGGCATGTCTATGTTGACGTGGTTGTGTGCTGAAGCAAGGTACCATATTGATGTGGATGGCCTACGACGAGCCTCCCGCATGCTGTTCGGTGAGGTAGCCACCAGACACATGGAAACGCTCTCTAGGTGCTCACGGGACGATGTTTTTGTTGTTTCTTGTCCTATTTACTGACACTGTGTTTATGATATTGTTTCGTGACGAAGGAATCAGAGCGAGACAGTAATGATATTCCAGGCAATGTGTATACACAATAAACACTGATGTTGTGAGTTATTGATTAACAGCGGTACGTTAACAAGTACTACATCGGTACCTGATAAGGTCAAGTTTTATATCATTAACAAAGATAATTACAAAGTTTACGGCACCCGGTAGTTCCGGAATTGTCTGTTTTTTTAAGTTACATGCTTCAAAATTTTACAAACAACTAGTCGAATGTTGGGTTTGTTTACATTGCAAATTTGAGGGAAAAACGCACCGAGATAACCTAAACCTGTTTAAAAGACTTATCATAACAAGAGATCCAATATCCTACCTTGGATAATTTAAGGTACATTGAAGACACGTTTTACTAAATAATTCACGAAGCCCATGTCTACCTGGATATACTGAGCATTGCCCAATACCTGTTCTGTCTACTTACACACAACATAATTATTGATTGCGTGGTACATCTATCCGGCATATATACATAGTGTACGTATTGTTAACACAGACTACGTTGGCGCCATTCCAATACATCCATTCAATAATTTAAGGACACACAGTATATCGACAAGAGGTTTATTCCCAGTCTAAAATACTTGTCAAATCTCCAACTTCACCCTGTTAAACCTCAAATCTTCAAAAGATATGTTATTCTACATTCAAATGATTGTTTTTATGAATCTGAAGTTGATATCTAAATAAAATGAAGTACAAAAATTAGTTATTGGCCGAAATCACGGATTCGTCGTCACGAGAAGGATGAATAGCCTGTGAACAGTGCGTGTGAATCAAAGGTGTTGAATACATTTATTTACCTTAGTATCAAGGTGAAAAAAACCAGCAAAATAAAAACAAACGAAGTTTGCTATCGCTATGGACCAGTCTGTTCAGTTGTGGTGGGTATATAGGCAAGGCAATGCACCTCAGTAGTAGTGGACCAAGCAGCATACGACGGACACCACGCGTGTTGTTCACCGAGGTAGCCAACTGCTTCTAGAAGGAGAAACTGTCTCACAATAGCCTTGGCTCTATATAGGCATAGAACCAACCAACCAACCAACCAAACAGACAACCAACCATCTCTCCACACTAAAACAAAAATCCAGGCGAACGAAGAAGAGAAATACATATATTTATTTCAGTCGAGCAGGTAATGGCGTATCAATGTAAGTAACCCAAACAAACCCTAAACACAAACATACGGAGACGGTGGTCGCTTACACCCTAAACACAAACATACGGAGACGGTGGTCGCTTACACCCTAAACACACACATACAGAGACGGTGGTCGCTTACACCCTAAACACAAACATACGGAGACGGTGGTCGCTTACACCCTAAACACACACATACGGAGACGGTGGTCGCTTACACCCTAAACACACACGTACAGAGACGGTGGTCGCTTACACCCTAAACACACACGTACGGAGACGGTGGTCGCTTACACCCTAAGCACACACGTACGGAGACGGTGGTCGCTTACACCCTAAACACACACGTACGGAGACGGTGGTCGCTTACACCCTAAACACACACATACAGAGACGGTGGTCGCTTACACCCTAAACACACACGTACGGAGACGGTGGTCGCTTACACCCTAAACACACACGTACGGAGACGGTGGTCGCTTACACCCTAAACACACACATACGAAGACGGTGGTCGCTTACACCCTAAACACACACATACGGAGACGGTGGTCGCTTGCACCCTAAACACACACATACAGAGACGGTGGTCGCTTACATCCTAAACACACAAATACAGAGACGGTGGTCGCTTACACCCTAAACACACACATACAGAGACGGTGGTCGCTTACACCCTAAACACACACATACAGAGACAGTGGTCGCTTACACAATAAACACAACATACGGAGAAGGTTTTCGCTTACACCCTAAACACACACATACAGAGACGGTGATCGCTTTCATCCTAAACACACACATACAGAGACGGTGGTCGATTACACAATAAACACAACATACGGAGGTTTTCGCTTACACCCTAAACACACACATACAGCGACTGTGGTCGCTTACACCCTAAACACACACATATGGAGACGGTGGTCGCTTACACCCTAAATACACACATACAGAGACGGTGGTCGCTTACACCCTAAACACACACATACAGAGACGGTGGTCGATTACACAATAAACACAACATACGGAGAAGGTTTTCGCTTACACCCTAAACACACACATACAGAGACGGTGGTCGCTTACATCCTAAACACACACCTACAGAGACGGTGGTCGATTACACAATAAACACAACATATGGAGAAGGTTTTCGCTTACACCCTAAACACATTCATACAGAGACGGTGGTCGCTTACATCATAAACACACACATACAGAGACGGTGGTCGCTTGCACCCTAAACACACACATATGAAGACGGTGGTCGCTTACACCCTAAACACACACATACGGAGACGGTGGTCGCTTACACCCTAAACACACACATACGGAGACGGTGGTCTCTTACACCCTAAACACACACATACGGATACGGTGGTCGTTTAACAAGGAATTAACCCCGATTGGTAATCTCTAGATACATCAAACAGGAAGAACATTATACTGTTGAGTTATTTGTCGAGTAAGAAGGTGTTTTGTAATCTGACTTCCTGGGTGATAATGTGCTAGATCGGATCTACCTTGACATGTGTAAATAAACATGGTCGTTCATAATAATTATTGAAACTTCACCATTCAAATGTAACAACAAATATTGTCACCGTTCGTTACATAAACAGTGTATTTTTAAATATGTCAATTATCCGATTGTGTTTCATTCTACATAGAAACTCTACGTGAAAAGAAACACAACTAAAACAGATTCAGGCGAATGATTCACAGTAAACAAACGGAACTAAAGAACATTACTAAATATATAACTTCTAAATTGGTTCAGAAAAAATATATTTAGGTAACAAAATCATTTGGATATACACTGCATTTTTCGAACATGAAAGTAAATTACTATGCCAGTAAATAAACACGTCAGGATGAGAAAATATACAAATTTTATTCCGGAAATATAAAATACCGTATAACAAATTAACACTAATATCCGCAAGTTTTAAATCTTAAACAAATAATTATCATAGTTTTATAACAGATCCAACAGTAAGCCGGAAGTGACGTTTGCTAATATTTAAAGTTGAAATACTTTACATGGGGAAAATAACCTGATTTGTCCTATAACCTTACAGAGATGAAACGTGATTTTAATATTTTTTGTAATCAAAGAACATTGAGATAAAAGTAATTTTAATACAGATAGCAACAGAAATACAATGTGCACAAAATGAAGCATTGAAAAGTTTTCAAGAATATTACCAGAAGCAGTAGTTTTTTTTAAATCGTATTACATCACTGTACATGGTAGGTACATCACTGAACATGGTAGGTACATTACAGTACATTATTGTACATTATAGTACACTGAGGTACATTATTGTACATTGTAGGTACATTACAGTACATTGTAGGTACATTATTGTACATTGTAGGTACATCATGGTGAGTTCAACAGTTAACTGTCCACTATAGACGGTGAGAATATATTGTATCCGTCTATGAATCTACATGTAAATCAGAGATTTTCCACATTTCACGAATCCACGATAGCTGGTTCTCTTTAAATGTCTACCTCAAATTAGTATCTAATATATATGATAATTGTCATAAGAAAAGAAAAAAACTGACAACACGATTTTCAGGATTGTCTCCCTCAGAACTTCACTTTCAGAGGAAGTGGTCCAGCGTCGTCATTGACGAAACGGGCATATTTTCCGTTGTCGTTCATGCCCACTGCATATGGCTTTGCGATATCACGGCTGTTGTGTCCTCTGGATAGAACCAGAAGCATTCCGAAGGTTGCGACCAAGGTCAACAGCGAGCCAACCACGGCAACAATCAGGCACCATGGGACAGTGATGTGGACGTTAAGTTCGGGCATCTGGAACTCTAGGTATTTGTGTGCCATGATGAGGATGGATGCGACTTTGCCCACAGCCACCAGGTAGATCACACCTGTTAATACAACCAGTACAGTATGAACTAGTTTTTCTTTGTTAGAGTGAAGCGTCAGAAGACAACAATTATTGACAAAATAGACTAAATTTTACATTGGAAAATTTTTTGTTTACATCTCTCTTTTTAATTAGCAAAGCATAAATAAAACAACTTCAGAGTTAAATATTTAAATACTTTAGAAAAATAGGATCAAATAAATCAATTAGGACTAATCAGTACCAGGTTTTCTTCAAAATGACCCAGAGCATTTGCCGAGATGTACTGAACCTAAATCCACACTAATCTTGGCAACAATTCATGAGAGGTCTACATTACATCCTTTTCATAATATTCACCATCGATTGTCTCTTACACATTAATAACAAATGGTGTTTTGTTAAACCAATTGTAGACTGACAAATGACAACAAAGGAGCTTTTTTTAGATACATAATAGAATCAGAACAGTTATGCCAGTAAATGGTCCACAAAACTTACCAGAGGTGAGAAGGGCCATGAATGACAGAATGGCACTCCAGCGACTCCTGGCGCCACTTCGGGCATACATCCACAAAGCCAGGATTCCTATGAAGGACATCGCAAGTCCAATGGTGGCCTCCACCCGGAACTCACACAGCACTTTGTCGGTGTACACTGATAAAATCAAACATCATAGTCTGAATCGGGGAAATATTTCAAAACTACTGTATGAAAACAAAAACAAAAATATGTAATTTAACGGGTATCAAATTTTATTTTATTGATTTCCTGCTGCCCGGATAATGGCTCCTCAATCAAGATATACAGCTTTTGAAAAAATTGGCTAAAATACTTACGGGCAACGTTCTGTACTATTTCTCCCAGGGAAGTCATCTCGGAGGGGAGACTTTGAACGACTTCATCCGTGTGTTTGTATGACTTCACGTGGCACTCCTTTCTCATATCTTTATGGTCATAATCGCCATCATCAACCTCTTCGGAGCTATCGTGATGACTTCGCTTCTTACGATCAATCATCATTTTCCCGGGCATTGGTGTTGGGCCGTCTTTTTCGTTTTCGCTACCGACTTTAGAGCACGTGACGGTATACCACAAACCAAGGGACATGTGAATACCTGGACCACAGTGGTGTTTATGTCTTCTGTGCTCAACAGGCATCATCATTCCCTTTCTCTCAGCCTTCACAAAGTCGCAAGGAGGAAGGCGCGGACGCATCGAGTCTGTCTGGGCATCTTCTGGAACAGCGGCATTCATACTTCCATCATCACAAGGCGGCATTATCATGTCATCACCGATAAACTCTGGGGCTTTTTTCAATGGAATATGGACACCAGCCCATCCGGGGCTAGTATACACTACTATCTTCATCAACAATCCCAAGCTGGCAAGCAACCCAATAACGAGAAGCTGACGAGAAACCTCCATTCCGAAACAAAGGTGTTATTCACTCCTCTGAAACAGTAACCACTGTGTTGTTGCCGGGAGCTGACTGGTGCTGTACTAGAAGATGCTGACTAGCGTTGCTACCTGTGTCCACCAGGTGAGGCTGCGATAGATGTACCTTGTTGAACGGGACGATCAATACTGACGGATAGCTCTACTAATTATGTATATGCCCTACACACAAGACGGTGACGCACAGGTAAACCCTGGATTTCCTTCATTTATACAGAGTAGATCGGTTGGTTTTAAAAATATTCGTAGCTTCGTTGTTATTCATTATTACTATCGTAGACTAGTCCTGTATTATAGATCGGGTTTGCCAATGGGAAGGCTACCAGTCATCACTATTAATAAACATACGGACATAGAAATCGTGACAACAGTCAATCGTCCACAATAGTGTAAGCCTAGCCTGTTCACTCAACCGGGTAGTTGTATAGACTAGTCTAAAACCCTTGTGACTATAACCAAGTATACCCATCCTATCATACCAGGTGAATATACGTGTTATCTTCAAACGGCACTGTCATTACATTTCCGAGTATCGTGGTGAGATCAAAAGTTATAATATATAATTTATACTTATACTAAACACTCTTTTAACGAAAGGTCTGAAGGTTTGCATGGTTCAGCGGGTGTACAATCTTGCCCAACAAAAACAAATTTAATTGTGACCTTCACGTAAGTCACTTTTAAACCAACTTCTAAATCTAACACGCTAGCATACTATATATTGGAATAATTTTATGTCGCTTGGTTTGTAACTGACAGTTTATCCGGGTTTTGACCTTACAGTTAACCAGAGGTTATTTAGATGATTAGACGTAACCTTGCACATGGATAAAGAATGAACACATATTACATATTATCTCCCCATAGAAACTGGAAGAGGAGAAATGTACCCAGAGAAGACAGGAAGTGTTTGATATGTGATTCAAATGAAATAGGGGATGAATTCCATTTATTATTTAAATGCCAGAATCCAGAACTGGTACAGTACAGAAATTTATATATTCACCCTCGATATCGTAACATACCAAATTGTATTAATTTTTACAACTTGATGAATTGTTCAAACTTCAGTACATTGCACAACCTACCGTATGTAAATTTCTTACTATTCTTAAAGATAAACAAAACCCTCCTGGGTAACCTGTTGTACATTGTATAGAATGTGTAGGCTATCTATACATTACTGTATAATCACATGTTGTACCTTCTCAACACTTATGTATCAAGTTATGAGAATAAAGAACTGACCTGAACCGTACATCTATAGTCACCTGCCCGACCACGTGGGTTTCCCCCAGGTACCTTATTGCTTCACTGAGAAAGACTCCCTTACACATTTCAATCTGGGCTAACAAGAGTGATGAATGTAAGTTGGAATAACTTAAGGCTTTTTCATTTGGCTAAATAGAATTTCAAAGTGTGATTTGAGGAATTTTACGCACAATAAGGATCTTTTGATTTAACATTGTAAGAAGCTGACGAAAGACGCACTACAATTTACCGAAATGTGGAACATGTCCACAGACCGTGGCAAAATGCCAGTAATCAACATATATAATTTAATAGTATTGTAGAGACAAAATTATAACAGGTGGGTCGTCGGCTATTCATACGTTATACACTAAAGCTATCAGAATAAAAAAAATGTAGGCTTGTACATTTGTACATATCTTCTAAACTTGATTTCCAGATTTTTCCGTTCGTGGATAATATCGTACAGAAACTTCCATCATTCTCAATGATACTAATACCCAAACAAACTCCAGTACCTTACATGCATTATCGCCTATAAACAAAACGTATAAAGCATACAACAGAATAGAAGTTCTAACAACACAACCAGTAGATTAGAGTGTGACGTTTCGATGACTACACGGTCACCTTCATCCTATAACACATCCAGTAGAAGATTAGAGTGTGACGTTTCGATGACCACACGGTCACCTTCATCCTATAACACATCCAGTAGAAGATTAGAGTGTGACGTTTCGATGACTACACAGTCACCTTCATCCTATAACACATCCAGTAGAAGATTAGAGTGTGACGTTTCGATGACTACACAGTCACCTTCATCCTATAACACATCCAGTAGAAGATTACAGTGTGACGTTTCGATGACTACACAGTCACCTTCATCCTACAACACATCCAGTAGAAGATTAGAATGTGACGTTTCGATGACTACACAGTCACCTTCATCCTACAACACATCCAGTAGAAGATTAGAGTGTGACATTTCGATGACTACACAGTCACCTTCATCCTACAACACATCCAGTAGAAGATTAGAGTGTGACGTTTCTGTAACTACACGGTCACCTTCATCCTATAACACATCCTGTAGAAGATTACAGTGTGACGTTTCGATGACTAAACAGTCACCTTCATCCTATAACACATCCAGTAGAAGATTAGCGTGTGACGTTTCGATGACTACACATTCACCATCATCCTATAACACAACCAGTAAAAGATTAGAGTGTGACGTTTCGATGACTACACGGTCACCTTCATCCTATAACACATCCAGTAGAAGATTAGAGTGTGACGTTTCTGTAACTACACGGTCACCTTCATCCTATAACACATCCAGTAGAAGATTAGAGTGTGACGTTTCGATGACTACACAGTCACCTTCATCCTATAACACATCCAGTAGAAGATTAGCGTGTGACGTTTCGATGACTACACATTCACCATCATCCTATAACACATCCAGTAGAAGATTACAGCGTGACATTTCGATGACTACACAGTCACCTTCGTCCTATAACACAACCAGTAGAAGTTTAAAGTGTGACATTCCGATGACTACACAGTCATCTTCATCCTACAACACATCCAGTAGAAGATTAGAGTGTGACGTTTCTGTAACTACACGGTCACCTTCATCCTATAACACATCCAGTAGAAGATTAGAGTGTGACGTTTCTGTAACTACACGGTCACCTTCATCCTATAACACAACCAGTAAAAGATTAGAGTGTGACGTTTCGATGACTACACAGTCACCTTCATCCTATAACACATCCAGTAGAAGATTAGAGTGTGACGTTTCGATGACTACACAGTCACCTTCATCCTATAACACATCCAGTAGAAGATTAGCGTGTGACGTTTCGATGACTACACAGTCACCTTCATCCTATAACACATCCAGTAGAAGATTAGAGTGTGACGTTTCGATGACTACACAGTCACCTTCATCCTACAACACATCCAGTAGAAGATTAGCGTGTGACGTTTCGATGACTACACATTCACCATCATCCTATAACACATCCAGTAGAAGATTAGAGTGTGACGTTTCGATGACTACACATTCACCATCATCCTATAACACAACCAGTAAAAGATTAGAGTGTGACGTTTCGATGACTACACGGTCACCTTCATCCTATAACACATCCAGTAGAAGATTAGCGTGTGACGTTTCGATGACTACACATTCACCATCATCCTATAACACATCCAGTAGAAGATTAGAGTGTGACGTTTCGATGACTACACATTCACCTTCATCCTATAACACAACCAGTAAAAGATTAGAGTGTGAGATGACTACACAGTAGAAGTACCTTCATCCTATAACACATCCAGTAGAAGATTAGAGTGTGACGTTTCGATGACTACACAGTCACCTTCATCCTATAACACATCCAGTAGAAGATTAGCGTGTGACGTTTCGATGACTACACATTCACCATCATCCTATAACACATCCAGTAGAAGATTAGAGTGTGACGTTTCGATGACTACACATTCACCATCATCCTATAACACAACCAGTAAAAGATTAGAGTGTGACCATTCGATGACTACACGGTCAGAGAAATGACCAGTGCATAGTGTAATAGCTCTGTCAATGAAACCATCCAAAAAAGAGAGTGATTGAAATCTCTAACAAACAGCTCACTTACACTACCAGCTGAAGATTATAATTCTGTAATCATCCCAGACAAAAGTTCCAGTCGATGATTTTACTGTAGAACGTCTGACATTACAAATCCGAAAGAATGTCCCGAAATAGAAAACATGCACATTATAAGCCAGTAGCCCACCTGTATTATATCATATTGTTTTAAATGGAATGCAGCGACTGTCTGATTATAGTGCCCCATAAAAATATAACAAAGAACAGGAATACAAAAGATTGATGATGAATTTTGTACCTGCTTTTATTGCGTGGAACAACAACACGAATACATATCAACAGAAATTTCGGGAAATAATTTCGCTGCCAACTCCTCTGGTAATCAAGCAAATACTCGTAAACTTATTCCAACGAAATGAAATGCAACATCCCCTAAAGAGCGCACGTGAAAAATGTATCAACATATCATTAAATACTACATACAGTTCCATAACCAAACTGCACATGTATACACTTATCCGCATGTAAACAATAATTCATACATTGGACAATGGTAACCAAAACACTCGCAAAAACTTGATCTCTTGAGCACTGCTAGTACCGACTAATTCACTGGACATCAAGCTCTATATTCTAATCTGACTAACACTCATACAAACGTATTTACAGGTAAGCACGGATATATTCTACATCGATAGGCGTTGACATGCACTCGTACAAATTGATTCACTTGAACACTAGTGCAAGATTATTCACTGGTAATTTGCGAGCTCTGTCATATTCAAATTGGTAAATGCTATGTTCTATAATGTTCGAACTTCAACTTTAGTTGACACTTTCCTAATTATTTAACAACACATCACTCAAGGTTAACCTTTCAAACTTCTTCGTCAACCAAGGACATAATTATCAACTTTTTAATTTATCATTTCTCTCAGCTTTCTAAGTAGAATTGTAAACATCCGCCTATTTAACAAACTGTTTTACAGGTCTAGAATAAGTTACTAAGATGAGGTTGTCAGGATATCGTCGATCTATTATACATGGACATTTCGCCAATAGTTGTCAAGTTTTGCACTATTTACAGGGACCGCCATCTACCGACTAAATTAAACACGGGGATGGTGCATAGTGACTCCGATGTGAGTGGTTTGAGAAGCCATAGGAGGTGCCATGGGATTTCCTTGATGATTGATATTCAGAAGAGTGTGCTGCTGACCAGTGGGGAATCTACTGATGATGATGCCACCTTCACTTAAACAGGAAGTATAGAACACCTCCACCAAGGTCAAGGTCGCCACGACAAACGCGGTCGCGGCTCCAACGGCAGCGACGACGACAGAGTAAGGAGCCATGGCGGTCAATCCCTCGGTGTAGGACAGAGTTGGGTGAAGGTTCGTTGCTAGATTAGCACACTTTCCGACCACATACCACATCAAGGCACCTAAACAGACAGACACAAGAAACAGTTTATATATCGTGTAACTTAAAGCCACATACACTAGTATTTTGACTTGTTACTGGCAATCATCGGAATTCTAAAGGGTCAGTCAGGTTTTGAGGGCTAGGTGATACCGATATCCTTCTCATCCGTTTACAAATCTGGTGACCCTCTATGTTTTCTTTTACATACAATACTAACCAAATAAATCTTATTTTCATAAGAAAAAAACTTCCGTCATCGTGAAGTTAGAAAACCAGAAGATACTTGTATGAAAAGAAATCACTATTAATAACTTATTATTACTATCACAAGAGAACAGTTAGCATGGTATTTACTTTTTTAAAACAAATACATTTATCTCTCGCATCCTTGACCTTCACAGTACGTCTGAATTCAATTTATATAAACCAAGTACACAAACAAGTTAACTTGTACTCCATAATCATTAATGATGAATCATATTCGGACAGATCTATACTGAAACATATATACTTATAACAACAACACTGAGAAAGGATTAAGGGCTTTTTCGAAAACTTTATTGGGTTTTAAACCAGGAACCTGCCAACCAAATACTGTGATTCATAAACAGAATTTTTACAAACGACACCTTTGATCTTGAATATTAGTGAGGGTAATTTGTTTTCGCAAACGTTGTTTGGCTGCCTCCAAGGAATCTACCCATCGTGATTATAGGCCCTTTTCGTTAATCTGAGGAATCAAAAGTTGTACTATTTTTACACTATTGATTTTTGTGACCTTCAATATAGGACAACATGGGACAATGACAACTTTTTGCAAACTTTATCCCACGAAATTGCCAACCAATGACCATGTCGAATCGGCTGTTATAACTTATCAGAACCCATCGACTTTTAACATGGGTCCAGGCCGTTCAAGTTTCATGTCGTTGGGCTTCATCACATGAGCCTTCTAGCCAAATATCATGATTCTAGGCGTTCTAGAAATTTATTAAGTAAGCGATCGTTTAAGTGTTGTTTTAACCTCTGACCTTTGAATGTGATTACACACTATAGGGGGATATTGGCGCTCATCCTTGTGATCTATACAATTTCTTCATACGATGGGTCTTTGCCTTCTTTTCTCCTTTTAATATTATTAGCTTTCAATATGTTGTAATATCATGAACCTTGCCTATGTACATCTGTTTATGTAAAATTGATCAAATATTAAAAAAAATAAATGTCGATAGGATTGGCCGCCTGCCGGCCAATTCGTTCTTTTGATCAGTTTCAAAATTGAAAAGACTGCCAAGGACAAATTGGAAAATCAAAAAGGAAATTTGAGATCCTTACAGTTCCCAGGAAATACATATAGTGATTACAATATTGTTTAAGGACGGACGACTGACTGCCAGACAAAAGTGTCATGGATGAACGATGACTTGAACAGTCGGATTCGTATGTATCCGATGATGAAATGGGTATTTTCTGTTACTTTAAAATTAGTCATGTAAATTCCAATGTGTATATCAATTTCAGTCTCGTTTGCTGAATGCATCTTGGCATATTTTACATAAAAGACAGACCGATAGTCAGAAAATCGTGTGAATATACAAATATGAAGCAGAGTTTTAGAATATAACACGCCACGTAACAAACCTTCACTGCGTAGTGTTCTTCGTAACTTGCAGTCTGTGTATGATGATCTAGCATAGGATTTTTGGAATTACATTTGACAATATAGAGAAGGTCCTTCGTTATGGAGATATTTTTGCCTAGTGTGAAAAACACATACTCGTAGGTTGAGTATTATATAAGGGAAAGAATCCCTTCTGTAAAGACGACCACATCTACCCATGAATACAAAACATTAAAATCAAAGGTTGCTTTGTGGAAAAAGACCACATCTACCCATGGTGACAAAGTTAAGATTCAACGTTCATTGGTGACACAGCAAGGGACGTACATACCACTGGTGACAAAGCTGGCATTGTATGTACCCCTGGTGACAAAGCTGGGGCCGTACATACCCTGTGACAAAGCTAGGATCGTACGTACTTTGTTGACAAAACTAGGACCGTACGCACCCTATTGACAAACCTAGGACTGTACGTACCCTGGTGACAAACCTAAGACTGTACGTACCCTGGCGACAATGCTAGATCGTACGTACTTTGGTGACAAAGCTATGTTTGTACGTACCTTGGTGACAAAGATCGTACGTACCTTGGTGACAAAGCTAGGAAATCATGTACCCGTTATGACAAAGCGAGGTTCGAACATACTCCTGATGACAAAGATAAGAACAAAGCATTTTTGACAACAACGCTTAGAGAAACTTACCTGCAATGATGAAACATCCTGCAGAAAGAAGACCGTTACACTTGTTGACGAGGACCGGTCGTTTGAAGTGGAACACGAGAAACAGCACGCCGAGGGCGCTGAAGCCAATCGCCATTGAAGCCAGGATCTGGTATTGTCTTATATTGAAAACATCAGCATCTGTAGGAAAGATGAAACGAAAAATTGTCAACTAACAACTTACTTTTCACAATCCCTGTCATCAGGACCCGTATTCATGAAACCATTCTTATTCAAGCAGGAATTTTGTGCTTAAGCAAACTTTTTTTTTATAATTCACTGAAATCATATGAAATACAAATGTCAAATTTAAACCTTGAATATAGCTTTGAAGTCTTTCAAAATTGTTTTTAATCTTCGGCAAAATCAGCATTATTTATTAATTTTTAACTTAAACAAGACATAAGACTTGAGCACAAAATTCATGCTCGAGTATGACAACGGTTTCATGAATACGGGCCCAGAACTCTGCATGGGGAGATAACTCGTATATGGAAGACTATTCACTATGCTTTCCTTCAAATAAAGCAAATTTCTAAATATGGCTCACTTCAGATGGATACTGTCTGACCAGAAGCTAAAGAGCTGGTGTATTTTTAGTATAAACTGCATACTGTTTATCACATTACTGTTTTATCTTTTTCTGATCCGAAAGTTACAACACTTCTTGATTACTAGTGGAATATGTTATATGACGACGTAAAAAAATCCTAAAATTAATGTTATTTAATCTGACTACCACTTGCATGTCTAATTTATAAACATAGTAGTTTTATTCCTGTGCAGCCTACAATCATTCCCGTTCAGTGCTGCTGGCTTCCTCAACCCCTTAATTGGCAAAGCACTGTAAAACCCAAGACACAGAAGTTCGGGTACATGTGGTATACAAGTTTGTGTATTTTACGATTTTAATTGTTACTTTATGTAATAAATATAAGTTCTTAATAGAGTTTTTATCTCGTACGAAATTTTATGAAGCGTGTTTATAAAGTTTCCATATTAGAGAGCTGTGAAGGTCGAAAATTGTAAGCACGGGACGAGTTGCATAAAACCCTCATGGAATTAAAAGAAATTTAAGACACTCTTTATCACGTATATCAGTTTAACAGGTTTTAAAGTCGGAATAGGGAGGACAAGATCAATGGTATATTACAAAAACGATATATGAAAAAAATGAGCAAAATCAGAGGATAACAGGCCGCATATGCTAATAAGTATGTGTATCTTTTACTTTTAACTACTACAGGAGAAACCATTCCGTACATTGTATACATAAATACGTCCTCTCTTGTGAAGATTCATGAGAACGATAATGCATTTGGTCATTAAAACATTTTATACAAAGTACTTACATGCCTGAATAGATTCTATGGTATCCCATTCGCTGTTCTTGACCGTAATGCATAACCCATTTAAACAAGATGTTGTTGTCCAAAGTCCAATTTCAAATACAGATTCCATTGGCTGGTACCCTAGTTTCCGTTCGACATCACTAATATTCGGCGACTGTATTTTGAAGCGTATCCATCCCCGAGTTGCGAACCCCATGATCTCCAACAGAAGGGCTATAATGCCGAGCCCCAAGTTTACTTTGCCAATCCTTCCGAAATCCATGTTAGCATCTGAAGAGTTGCCGGTGACAATACTACTCTTGGTGAGTAGTGAGCGGCTACCACAGAACCTCGTGCGCACGAAATCCTAGGCCTAACACGGGGTCGAGAAACTTCTGTGCAACGAAAGTTCATTTCACAATCAAGTTAAAAAATGCACATAAGGATTAAAACATTCGTTTTCAATAAGGTGTTTTGACTTAAGTACTAATGTGGTTTTGGTATTTTAGCCTGAAACGACATCTCGTAGTATAAGCGGAAAGAGCACATCCCCGCTGGGGACCCCTGAAGTAGAGGAAAACTCGTGCCATGACAACAATGTCCATACAGACTACTGGGGTTCAAAGAGGTATGACGCGTAAAGACCTGATGCGTCCTAGACGCGGATAAAAAGTGAAATAAAAACAATATTTTTCTCTATTTTTACATATTTCGAATCCTTACACTACTATCAATCGGGAAACAAGTCTTTGATATATATATCACTGTAACAAAGACTTGTTTGCCTATTATTTATATTATTATTATATATTATTTAAATTTTACAGGTCGACCAAGTAAGACATGGTGATTTCTCGACTTTAATTGCAAGTTTGGCACGTACTCATTTTTACACTTAGTTGTTCGTAAGCAAATAAATCTTGAATTTTGATTTTAAAAAAATAGCAGAAAAGGAATAGTGATGTTAAAGACCTTAAAAAACGTGTTATAGAATATACGAAAATGATTGTATTTAGGAATAAATATGTTTTGAAATTTTGGATGACAACGAAAGAGTTATGAAGGTTAAGAACAAATAGATATATAGCTGTAGCTGGAATAAGGAAGATGTTGAATATCAAAAGGGAAGAATTCCACGATATTGGCAATAGATTCGAAATCCATATCCTGTTACATTGTCAATGTTACAAGAAAGTTAGGAGTTATGTTAAGATATAGATCTTCATACAATGTCAAACATGACAGTTTGTATAACTTATGAACACTAAATATACACGCAATATGCATATATATATATTTCACATTATATCTATATAGATGTACCAGCGTATATGAAATCAATTTGCCCAAGAACACGGTTACTTTCCAACTTTCACACTTTATATATGTCAATTATTGTAAATATATTTTTGAATATATATATCTATAAGAAAATGAAAACGAAATAAAATTCAAATACAGTTGTTTTAGTTATCCTATAATAAAGAATTACAGTTACTTGTGTCAGCTCTCCTCCTGCACTGAAATTAAAATCAATTTCTATCTATGTCCGAGTCAATCTTTTGCGTTGATTTGTTTTAATTAAATCATTTCCAGAATTAATTAGCTTTAACTGGAATTGAATATTTAAGTGTGTAAAATTTACTGCTGGTATTCCCAACATTTCTGTCAGTAAATGATCCAAATGAGAGATGACAATATCCGTGATATTAATTGGGAATTAAGATCACATGGGGATGTTTGTGACCTCCATCGCATATGATTTTTATGATTGACATTTTATTCGCTACCTTGTTCTCACATGGTATCCTAGGGATATCTGATTTAAAAAAAAATCGGGGAAGATCCATTCAATGTCCAAGTATTGAAATCCATGATAACCATCTGCTCGTATTTAGTAGGAATAACAATCGCCGACAGATAGCCAATATAATGAACGTACATCGAAATACGAACGCTTTCTTTTTTCAGTACCTGGTGAAAAATGTAAACACGACTGTTTAATCCATTTTATTTTGTATTGCATAAATCAGTAACAGATGAATAAAAGCAAAGCAACGATGGAGCTTCACATAATAAAAAAAAAACATGTAGTAAGTGCCATGGGTTTAGAATGTGTCTTGGCACGATAAGTACATATGAGGGTTACAACAAGAGTGATCTCCCTTTACACACCCAAGTGTTTGATTTCGCTTGACAACAATTCACACAATTTTTCAAAATACTTTCACATTCATACTATCTCCAAGGAAAGAAGAAAGTTGCAACAAACATACATTTTTTTCTTAATATACGGTGCTTCCAAATATTTAAACAATTTATTAAATGCAAAGTCAGCGAACTGTTCATATATGAGTATATATAGAATATATTCAGGACTCTTCTTGTACATGTGAATAATGGCGGCGGTATATGTAAAGGATAGTTAGAATATTGATAGATCAAAACCCACTTATAATCATACTTCAACCCACAGTAGTGTCATACTTTAACTCAATGTAGTATCATACTTCAACCTACAGTAATATCATACTTCAACCCACTTAAGTATCATACTTCAACCCACTGTAATATCATATTTCAACCCACTGTAGTATCATACTTCAACCCACAGTAATATCATACTTCAACCCACTGTAGTGTCATACTTCAACTTAATATAGTATCATACTTCAACCCACTGTAGTGTCATACTTCAACCCACAGTAATATCATACTTCAACCCACTTTAGTATCATACTTCAACCCACAGTAATATCATACTTCAACCCACTGTAGTGTCATACTTCAACCCACTGTAGTATCATACTTCAACCCACAGTAATATCATACTTCAACCCACAGTAGTGTCATACTTCAACTTAATATAGTATCATACTTCAACCCACTGTAGTGTCATACTTCAACCCACAGTAATATCATACTTCAACCCACTTTAGTATCATACTTCAACCCACAGTAATATCATACTTCAACCCACTGTAGTGTCATACTTCAGCCCACTGTAATATCATACTTCAACCCATTGTAATATCATACTTCAACCCACAGTTTCAACCCACAGTTTCAACCCACAGTAATATCATACTTCAACCCACAGTAATATCATACTTCAACCCACAGTAATATCATACTTCAACCCACTTTAGTATCATACTTCAACCCACAGTAATATCATACTTCAACCCACTGTAGTGTCATACTTCAACCCACTGTAATATCATACTTCAACCCATTGTAATATCATACTTCAACCCACAGTTTCAACCCACTTTAGTATCATACTTCAACCCACTGTAATATCATAATTCAACCCACTTTAGTATCATACTTCAACCCACAGTAATATCATACTTCAACCCAGTGCAATATCATACTTCAACCCACAGTAATATCATACTTCAACCCACTGTAATATCATACTTCAACCCACAGTAATATCATACTTCAACCCACTGCAATAGCATACGTCAACCCACTGTAACATCATACTTCAACCCACTGCAATATCATACTTCAACCCACTGTAGTATCATACTTCAACCCACTTTAGTATCATACTTCAACCCACTGTAATATCATACTTCAACCCACTGTAGTATCATACTTCAACTCACTGCAATATCATACTTCAACCCACAGTAATATCATACTTCAACCCACTGCAATATCATACTTCAACCCACAGTAATATCATACTTCAACCCAGTGCAATATCATACTTCAACCCACAGTAATATCATACTTCAACCCACTGTAGTATCATACTTCAACCCACAGTAATATCATACTTCAACCCACTGCAATATCATACTTCAACCCACTGTAATATCATACTTCAACCCACTGTAATATCATACTTCAACCCACTGTAATATCATACTTCAACCCCCTGCAATATCATACTTCATTACATTATCACTCTAGTATCGCCCTTCATTACATTATCACTCTAGTATCGCCCTTCATTACATTATCACTCTAGTATCGCCCTTCATTACATTATCACTCTAGTATCACCCTTCATCACATTATCACTCTAGTATCGCCCTTCATTACATTATCACTCTAGTATCACCCTTCATCACATTATCACTCTAGTATCACCCTTCATCACACAATCACTCTTGTATCATCCTTCATCACATTAGCACTCTAGTATCACCCTTCATCACATTATCACTCTAGTATCACCCTTCATCACATTATCATTCTAGTATCACCCTCCATCACACAATCACTCTTGTATCATCCTTCATCACACAATCACTGTAGTTTTATGATCAATAATAGGTATTCCTTACATTTGTCTTTCTAATCCTAACATACATGTACGTGTTTTTGGAGTATGTTCTGATCGACTGTGAACACGACAGGTAACTTAAGATTTGTTTACATTGTGCCAGACTGCTCACAGATAAATGACAAAAAATACGGTACTTTCTCACACCTACATTGTAAGAACAATCTCTGGCATTGTTACAATAATAAAGCATCGTCTGCGCACTACAGATGTAGCTGTTTAGATGCACATGCATTACTGAATGTCGGATGTACATTTCTGCACCATGCACAAGTCATTACTCGGCGAATGACACGTGCATTGCTCTGTATGTAGACATTCGCTGGGAATCTCTGTACATTAATTAGTGAGTAAGATCCATGAATTTTATCAATAAAACATATCATTCGTTTGTAAAATGTTAATCACCAGAAGAATAGCGATGTAGCAAAAGTAGATAGACTTTTTGTTGTCATCACTTCGCCGATGTAATCAACAGCTTTCTATGTCGATTTCACATGATATCGATATTGTCTATAAATGGTATTGTTTCTATTCACTGATTCTCAAAGATACATTTTTTTCATTCAGTTATGATTAAACAATTATGATATTAGCAGATAATTTAATTGATCAGTGTTAATTAAATACCATATAGATGTACATGTCACAATTTAAGCTAAAAAAACATGGCACATTTTTAGGAATAATGTCAAATTATAGGAATTCATAAAAGTAATACATGGACATGTAGTTGTAACTGATAGCCATTTTTATCAAAATAACTATGAATCACTTAGATGTTTGACATCTGATACTTCTACACCAACAAATAACAGAAACCAGCTCAGAATTACATAATAACAGTTAAATATATCACATTAAACACTACTTATATCACAGGAAAATCTCGCCGCTTTTGATTGGTTCTGTCGTCACGGGATCGCCTGGAAAAGCCGTTGAGTCAAGTGTTGAGAAACTTGGAGCTGGCGTCAGTGACGTTCCCATATTGTGGTACCCAGGAAGGCGGTCCATACTTATGTCCGTCGTGTAAAGGTTTGCCGTGCTCGATTGAATCTTGTCCTCCAAAGCACGTGCGGCCACTCTGTCTCGTTTCAATTCACGGAAGTTCGCAACCAATAAGGGGATCGTAACGGCAGCAAGGACAAATGGAACAGTACTAAACAGCGCCGATATGATGAGTGACCAAGGAATGTCTATAGTCTCATGTCCAGCCAGGTCAATATTCTCCTTTATAAGTTTGCCTATAGCTACCCAGACTGTTGTCCCTGATAACAAATGTAACATATATTTTATTGTAGGTATGGAAACATATACAAGTCTATAACTGTTATAGAACAGATGCAACACTACAAATGATATACGATGTGTCGTGTTATATCAAACCTTTATACATCTTAATCATGAAAATGAAGGAATCGTACAATGGTTCAATCTCAGAGAAACTGTAACGTTATTGTACCGTCACAACCATAGTACATTATAGTATAATCAAACTACTTTATTTTCACTCCACAACCATGCTAAAAATATCAAAACTCTTTCACTTTATCTCACAATCTTGCTTCAGTTATTGTACTCCATCACAATGCAATCTTCGAACATCTTCAGTAATCGAGACATAGCAAGTAATGGCATTGAGTAAACGATTGTAATAGTATATCACATTGAGTAAACGATTGTTATAGTATATCACATTGAGTTAACGATTGTTATAGTATATCACATTGAGTTAACGATTGTTATAGTATATCACATTGAGTAAACGATTGTTATAGTATATCACATTGAGTTAACGATTGTTATAGTATATCACATTGAGTTAACGATTGTAATAGTATATCACATTGAGTTAACGATTGTAATAGTATATCACATTGAGTAAACGATTGTAATAGTATATCACATTGAGTTAACGATTGTAATAGTATATCACATTGAGTTAACGATTGTTATAGTATATCACATTTGAAATAATATCATAAATATAGAATAACAAAAATCTAAGTACGAAATTTGTTCCCACCAGTCTCCCGATCCAAACAGGCAAAATCATCTGTTAGAAATATTGTTATTATAATTTATGTTGTGGATGAACCTACAAACATCTGCCATCAACGCCATCATTCGGGCGAGCGTAAGTCTTTGGTATTACGACACATATTCAATCATATTCGTCTTTATAGAACCAGTTACAACGACTGTGATTAATTACAGGGTCCTTTTGGAATGTAGTGAAGAATGAACACTTGAATCGGAGAAAAAAAGTATGAGAACTAGTATGACACGAGGGGGAATGCGGGCATTAAAATGCGCAGTGTATCCCCAGCGGGGAAAACAGACAACTCAAATAGACAACTCGTCAGCTATTGACGGTCCGAGGAAGTTGCCATAATTGACATCTTCGATACAAATGTCATACCTGAAGCGACTAGCAAGAGTGTTCCACCCAAGCCGTACGAGAGCGAATCTTTATTGGCTCCGCGATGTCGGTATATGGTGCCAAGGGCTGTGGCGGCAAGGCATACGCATGCGCCCACCATCGTCTCGATCTCATACTCCAAGAAATTAGCTGTAAATCAAAACAAAATTCAAATTTAACAAATTGAATAACCGTTGAGGTTGTTTAAATCAAAAACCAGTCCAAGACGTTTAAAGATTAAACTTGACATAATGACAAAATGGGAAACGACTGGAATTACATATTTCCTAGTACAAATACAGTGAACCGAATTCCTAATACTGAACACGAAAACGTTTCAGCTGCTTAAGCAGGTTGTCAAGAAATCTATTTGTTCTGAGTGAGCAGGGTTTACTATAGACAAGTGATAGTTATTTTAGAATCAGGAAATCTTCGGTACATTTATTGCGCAGAATGTGATGGTGCCAGCAGACATATCTTGGATGGCTCACGCAATCGAGTCGTTTCTATCCGTATTTGCCGTCTTTCCGGACATACTATGTATGATATTTAGCAGAACTACACAACAATTATGTAGCCAGGCAAACCTAACCTTCAATTAATTGAATTCGCATTCACAATCGATTTTGGACTGCTCCTAGTATGACAATAGACAAACATATTGCTCTCATATTTCTAATACACCAACAGACACACTATAATCACAGCATCTCCACAAATGTACATTGTTGTAACACAATACACATTTACATTGTTACGAAACATGTAAATTGTTGTAAAACAACACATACACAAATGTATATTGGCTTCAGCCGCATAACATTTTGTTTTACTCAAATTTAAAACAGAATGTGACGGTCTGCCTAAAATCATTTTACACCGATAAATGATCACATAATGAAATTATGTGATAATGGATTGAACGGATTACTCAGAATTTTACACTAGAATAAATACCATATTCATGTTGCGATGTTTGTTACTCATAGGACTGGACAAATAAAAATTAAAATGTAAAATAAGTATCCATATTTTATCCACGACGAAAAATAAAACACAATGTACATGTAAAAAAGCCTACAAGAAAAATATTTCAAAATATTTTTCCAAAAAAAAAAAAAAAAAAAACCCAAAACGCGTGATTCCCCTATATATAGTACTTGATTGCTTATTGATCGAAAACAGTCTGCGGACTCGCGAATCGTGCAATTTACATTATTCAAAAGCACGCCATTTCCATTTGTACGTAGTAAAAAAAGTTAGTTAATAGCAAGTCTTCGTCATTAACTGGGTTTCCAAATATCACTGTCTGACTTTAAAACCCTCAAGGGTAAGTGCATTCGCCTGGTTGACCTTCAGGCTTCGTGCGACCTTCATGAATCTAACCCAACCTAGTTTTATGACCAACATCAGTATGTGAATGTTGTGAATACAGAACAGAATACTTCAACAGTCAACTGAGATTAAACAATATCTATTCAATATAACAACAAAGTAAACAGACACATTCTGGACATAGGAAAACAACAACTTATTTCTTCAGTGTTCATTTTATAAATCTATATTGAAGTTTTACATTCAATAATCATATTTGTACTGTTCGAAAATAACTATATTTTTTCTATCTCAGAAATGAAATGGCGGGTATTGGGGGTCAAGATTTCTTTCGGCACTCACAGTTAATAAAGAAAGGGGAGAACATTTGTTCAAATGATAGTGGTACCCGTTAGAGAAAGACTAGAGTCAATCGAGTTGTATTAAGTAATGTCTTTAATCATTGAGGGAAAACTATAGTGTTTATTGTACATGCTGAATCAGCGCAAAGGTCGCTAGAAATAAGGTTATCATCGAAAATCGATACACCATACAGGATCTGATTACAAGGAGCTGTTTGCGGAGTCAAATTTGCAGATTTTTAAAAGCTTAACTTGTGCATGGGAACTATTATAAGTCCGGGAATTGGGATGAGATACCCGCGCACGAGTTAGACATATTTCTTAATCACGTATACATTTACTTTATAATGTTACATGTAATGATCTCGTATATCAACTCACAAACCGATTTCTTTTTCTTTCATTCCACAGATTTAAACGTATAACCATGTGCTGATGGCGTAAGGGAGACATTGCATGGATCGGGATGACTCTACAGATGTCAGCAGAAAATGGGGAGGCAATCACTTGACCCCACTAGTGTCAACAGACGACAGATGACGTTTGGTTGAAATGTCTCGTGTCCATAGTTCCTTGTGCCAGTAGATCGACGGGGCCAATGAATTAAATTTTCTTATATCAGTGGAACCACGTAGTACAAATAGATTGAATTCTCTCTTGTGCGTAGGACGACACAGGGAAATGGGTTGAATTCTCTTGTGTGAGTAGAACTACGAACGGTGATGGGTTGAATTCGTTAGACAATGCTATATGTTTGAGTATGGTTTCTTGTGGTATGAACAGGGACCAACTATTTCATGTCACTGACTCTTCCGCATGGCCTCTTAACATTAAAATTTCAAATGAACCAAGTGGGAATACCATTAAAATCATATTTCTCCATTTCGTCAGTGTCAGCAATACTTTTATTATTTCTGGAGGTCATGTAACAACCCCAGGGGTAAAAAGTCACGTTTCTGTGCTTTCGGAAGATATTTAACAAGTGAGAGTTGCTTTTCCATCATCCTAGAAACAGCAACGAGCGGTACTCAGCACCAAGAGGTACTAAAACCTGACAAAAATCAATGTCAGGAAAAGTAAAGGCACTCGGAGTTGATTGAATTACTGAGGAAAATGCGTGCAGAGAACAGCAATCGGCCAGCTCAACACGACAAACACAGCTTGGTAGTTCTGTTTGTTTGTCAATACACAGAATCGATAATTTGAAAAGTTGAAGATGCGTAAATGGCTCAGTTAGCCGGACGTTAACTTCTACTTTCCCAGACCAAACCGTCATGTAAGCGAACCGTTCGTACGATTACTAAATACATTTAGAATGGTACACCATTTGTTTATTCATCTTTCGTTTACAATTGTTTAAAAGTTCTTATACGAATATATACGTGTGCCTGGAAGTGAAGGTTTTTCGCTTAATAGACTTTTAAGAAGTACCATTTGGTCATTGTCGGGTAAAGTATGTGATTTCTTCTGCATCCTTCAGTATTAACTGTACCTAGTAATGCACATTTTGCAGATAAAATAAAGATACCACTCTGGTTACATTGTCAATCGTAATTAAAATTTATCGGTACATCGTGTAATATACCATACCGGTTTAATATCGTGGATTGTACCATACCGGTTTAATATCGTGGATTGTACCATACCGGTTTAATATCGTGGATTGTACCATACCGGTACAACATCGTGGATTGTACCATACCGGTTTAATATCGTGGATTGTACCATACCGGTTCAACATCGTGGATTTTACTATACCGATTTAATATCGGGGATTGTACCATACCGCTTTAATATCAGGGATTGTACCATACCGGTTTAATATCGGGGATTGTACCATACCGGTTTAATATCGTGGATTGTACCATACCGGTACAACATCGTGGATTGTACTATACCGGTTTAATATCGTGGATTGTACCATACCGGTTCAATATCGTGGATTGTACTATACCGGTTTAATATCGGGGATTGTACCATACCGGTTTAATATCGGGGATTGTACCATACCGGTTTAATATCGTGGTTTGTACCATACCGGTTTAATATCGTGGACTCTACCATACCGGTTTAATATCGTGTATTGTACCATACCGGTACAATATCGTGGTTTGTACCATATCGGTTTAATATTCTGTAATATACCATACCGGTACAATATCGTGGATTATACCGTACAACATCGTGGATTGTACCATACCATACCGGTTTAATATCGGGGATTGTACTATACCGGTTTAATATCGTGGATTGTACCATACCGGTTTAATATTGTGGATTGTACCATACCGGTTTAATATCGGGGATTGTACCATACCGGTACAATATCGTATAATATACCATACCGGTTTAATATCGTGAATTGTAACATACCGGTTTAATATTGTGGATTGTACCATACCGGTTTAATATCGGGGATTGTACCATACCGGTTTAATATCGGGGATTGTACCATACCGCTTTAATATCGGGGATTGTACCATACCGGTTTAATATCGTGTAATATACCATACCGGTACAATATCGTGGATTGTACCGTACAACATCGTGGATTATACTATACCGGTTTAATATCGGGGATTGTACCATACCGGTTTAATATCGTGTATTGTACCGTACAACATCGTGGATTGTACCATACCGGTTTAATATCGGGTATTGTACCATACCGGTACAATATCTTGTATTGTACCATACCGGTTTAATATCGTGGATTGTACCATACCGGTACAACATCGTGGATTTACCAAACCGGTTTAATATCGTGGATTGTACCATACCGGTTTAATATCGCGAATGGTACCATACCGGTTTAATATCGTGGATTGTACCATACCGGTTTAAAATCGTGTATTGTACCATACCGGTACAATATCGTGGTTTGTACCATACCGGTTTAATATCGTGGATTGTACCATACCGGTTTAATATCGTGGATTGTACCATACCGGTACAATATCGTGGATTGTACCATACCGGTTTAATATCGGGGATTGTACCATACCGGTTTAATATCGGGGATTGTACCATACCGGTTTAATATCGTGGTTTGTACCATACCGGTTTAATATCGTGGACTCTACCATACCGGTTTAATATCGTGTATTGTACCATACCGGTACAATATCGTGGTTTGTACCATATCGGTTTAATATTCTGTAATATACCATACCGGTACAATATCGTGGATTGTACCGTACAACATCGTGGATTGTACCATACCATATCGGTTTAATATCGGGGATTGTACTATACCGGTTTAATATCGTGGATTGTACCATACCAGTTTAATATTGTGGATTGTACCATACCGGTTTAATATCGGGGATTGTACCATACCGGTACAATATCGTGTAATATACCATACCGGTTTAATATCGTGAATTGTAACATACCGGTTTAATATTGTGGATTGTACCATACCGGTTTAATATCGGGGATTGTACCATACCGGTTTAATATCGGGGATTGTAC